CACTGACTTTGCAGTTGAAACCAATCTTACGGTCCAGTGCTTATCCTACAATGCCACAGTTGAACTAAATAAAATTGCATTTTGTAATATTCAAAACACTTGAATATTAGCAAACACATACGGTTCAACCTGACACGAGCATATAAAGTATTTAGCATAGTGTCCAGCACATAATAATTACCTAGTAAATGTCAGCTATTATTTTCTGCCTCACTCAGTCCCCCTTTTCTATTGATGTGTGTGACTCTTCTGAAAAGTTCAGAAGCTTACCCCAGGATTTGCAGGCCCTATGGTGGCACTGTAGGATAAGCACTGGATGGCTAACCACTAGGTCAGCAGTTCAAACCCATCAGCTGCTCTCACAAACCCTATACAGGGAAACTATAATTCGGTACTAACTCAAGGGCACACAACAATAACAATACCAACAAAAGAGCAGGGCCAGAAAGGAGCTCCGTTCCGCACTTAGAAATCTCTCTCTGATCCTAATGTATGAGCAGGAAGGTACAGGTCATCTTCTCAGCCCTGCAGCTACATGGGACTACTGAAGCTGGGGGCCCCTCCCAGCAACCTCCCAAGACCTCATTCTCCCTGCCTGGGGTCAAAGTCCAGGAAATCAACATCTTGGGGAGACAGGGGGGCGGAAAAGGCTGCCCTGAAGGACTAGAGTACAGAGCTAGCCCAAGAGTGGGAAGGGTGAGGCAATGTCCATATAAGGAGACATTTTCCTTCTCCAACTGTCAGCCCCCCACTTCCCCACACCTCTAATCTTTCTACCCCACACTTCTGTGGGGGCACATCCCGGCCAGCAAAGGACTGGAGCCCTGGGGCCTAGATCTAGAAATGGAGTTCAATTTCATCACAAAAATGATGAAAATAGACAGAAAATACAAGCTGCTCTTCAACTTTATTACTATTATTTTTATCCTCTGGGCAGCCGTGTGAGCACAAAGCTGGTTTTGATTAAGCTCATGGTCCTTCCAGCCCACTCCTTGCTGTGGTTCTCACGGAGGTCCAAGCACTCAGCCTCCCTGGCGGGGCCCCAGGGCCTGCACAGCCCTTGGTGTTGCACTTCAGGTGGGGCGGGGCTCCAGAGGAAAAGGGGGCCACTGAGCCTGGGAGGTGCTGGACTGACAGGGAAATTTGAGCCCCTTTATTCCTGCCAGATGGAAAGATAAGGTGCAAGGGAACTTTTTCTAAAAACAGGACTCCAAGAGTATCCTCACATGGCCACCCCGCATTGAAAGCTGAGGACAGATGCAGACACCAAAAACAGAATTTTAAGGCAGATTTGGAAAGGGAAGGGTGGCACGAAGGGATCTGATAAATGGGGAGAATGAATGAGTAAATAGGTAAATGATCATTTTTCTTCTCTCCAGAGCACTGTTACATGCTTTCTCTCCTTTGAGCCTCATCCCATACGAAAGAGAAAATGGGTATCATTCCCTATGTACAGATAAGGGCACAAAGATACAGAGCAGCTGAAGTTATTTGCCCAAGATCTCAAGATTGCCGATGACAAAGCCAAAACTAGAACCCTTGTCTTTCCATCCCTACTCGGATGATGCCCGGAGGCAAAGCCACGAACAGCCCCAGCAGGACAGAAGGACTTCTTCCAGTCTCAGCCTCCTTGTTCAGGAACTCAGGGAATCGATTCTGGCCTTCCTTGTCTTCTTTCCTCTGATGCCCCAAAACTCACCAGGAGAAAGGTAGCAAACAGAGTGTTGAACCCAAGGCATGCGGAACTCTCCATATCCTGTACTATTGTTGCTGGGCGCCATTGAGCCCTTTCTGATTCACAGTGACCCATGAGACAGAGTAGGACTGCCCTGTTGGGTTTTGTAGGCTGTTGTCTTTACAGGAACACATTGCCAGCTCTTTTCTTCCACTGAAGCAATGGTGGGTTTGAACTGCTGACCTTTCGGATAGCAGCCTAGCACTTAATTCATGGCACCACCAGGACTCATATATCCTCTGTTGTTTGTTGTTGTTGTTAAGTGCCATCAAGAGGGTTCCGACTCATAGCGACCCTCTGTAGGGTTTCCAAGGAGCAACTGGTGAGCTTGAGCCGTCAACCTTTCGGTTCAAGCCAACTTTGCAGTCTAGCGCTTTAACCCACAGCGCCACTACCAGGACTCCTCTGTTACCCTTCCATTAAAAAGAGAGCGGCAAACAAGCAAACGCTCCAGCCACCTTTCTTTAAATTGTCATCAGTGACTGTCAGAAGTGTTTGTCTTGAAGGACGGATGATCTCAGGAGAAGGAAACTTATAAACATAGCACCCCAGTGTACTTTCAGATACCATCACCAACCTTCCCCCACATTACCACCACCACTACCTCCAAACACATCACACAGAGATTGAGAGAAACTAGGAGTTTTTGACCGTGGCTGCGCATCAGAAAATATTGACGCCCAAACCCCAACCCCGACCACTTAAACCAGGACCTGCTGCTACTGCTAATATACAGCAGGGAACCATCCACTTTGACCTAATTGGCCTGACATCTTTTCTGCAGTTAGGATGTCGTTATCCCTGGTGAATACCTGCTTCTCCCTCCATTTCCTTACTGGGAATCTGGTGCTCGGGCACTGATTGTGTCCCTGAGGTACTCCTTTGCTCTCAAGGCATGTGCCAGAAGAATGATGACATGCAGTGGGGAATGGGCATCAGGGTTGGGCTATCAAGCACTGCTTAAAAAGATCTCTTCCAGCTTTGTCCCCCCACTCCTTCCCCTGTCATATGCTGAACTTCGACACTTAATCATTAGTGGTTACGAATTGGCCTGCTAACTTCAAGGTTGGGCAGTTCAAAACTACCAGTTGTTCCGCTGGAGAAAAATGAGGCTTTCTGCTCCCGTGAAGATTTGCAGCCTCGGAAACCCTGTGCAGGGTCACTATGAGTCAGAACTGACTCCACGGTACTCAACAACAACAACAGTTAACAAGTGCTTGACTTTTAAATGTCTCTGGTGACTCGTTCCCACAGACCCAACAGGATGCCCCGTTCTGCCTCAGAGCTGCCACCAAGCCTGGGCAATGTCCACAAGAGGCCTCCATCCCTGGGCAACCTGGCAGGGGACTGGCATTAGGATAGGAAGGAAACCTGACTGATCTTTAGAACCAGTTGACCTTGAGTTGATTCTGATTATAGCTACCCTCTGTGTGTAAGAGTAGAACGGTGTTCCACAGGATTTTTAATGGCTGACTTTTCAGACTTAGATGGCCAAGCCTTTCTTCCAACATGCCTGTCACTAGACTCAAACCTCCAACCATGCAGTTAATAGCCAAGGCTGTTACCCCTGGTACAACAGGTGTTAAGGCCTGAGAAATGATCATGTGTAGATGAATTTATGTGGGCAAATCCACTTTCTGGGAAAAGAAAGGGACCCAGAGCCATATAATCCAACCCGTTGCTATTAAGTGAATTCTAAGTCATAGCAACCTTTTAGGACAGAATGGGACTACCTCACAGGAGCTTCAAGGCTGTAAATCTTTATGGAAGTGGATGGCCACATCGCTCTTGAGTGGAGCAGCTGGGGGATTTGAACCTCTGACCTTTCTGCTAGCAGCCAAGTTCTTTAACGGAAAGAAGGAGAAATGCATGGATATGGGTGTTCTGAGACTTCATGTGCCAGGGTAGGACACATCCCCAGTCCCTCTGTCCTGTGTTCCTCATGCCCACCCCCACCCCCACCCCACCTTGTAAAGCTCCAGGAGAGAACGTGGCAGGAGTTCCATTAGCAGCCTATCTACCCAGTCCTGCAGGTGGGACAATGAGATGGCCCTTCCTCCCCAGCCAAGCCACAGGAATGTGGCGAATCCTGTGCTGGAAAGTCCCACACCCTCCTTCCTCTTGTGGCGCTTCCTCTTTTCAGGAGCAGGAAAAGGACAGACAGGAAGGGGCCTCCCTCCCAGTACTGTCACCAAAGACTGCTGGGATGTGAGGAAGAGGAAAGCTGGCAAAATGTTGGGACACAGCGATAGCAGTTCAGCCAGCTGCTTATCCCATTTCTCAACCAGTCTCCTGGAGCTCAGAGAGATGGCTCCCTGCTGTACCAATAAGGGAGGGGGTTTTTGGCTTCATCCACACTTCTTCCATTAGCCTGGAAAGTGGCAACGTACAGGCCTAAGGAATTGCACCATCTCAGAATTTTCTGCCCAGTAGCTACTGATGCAGGATTTCATTAGGTCTGCTTTGGGGCAGAGTTCCTGGGTAATGCAAATATTTAACATACTTGCTAAGTGCAAGGTTGGAGGTTCGGGTCCACCAAAAGGCACAATTGTGGAAAGGTCTGGGAATCTATTTTGGAATAATCTGCCATTGAAAATTCTATGGCGTGCCATTCTACTCTGACACACCTTGGGTGGCTGTGAATCGGAATTGACTTAACAGCATCTGGTGACTAATGGGAGCAGAAGTCTCCAAAATGGGTGCAGGGCTCAGCTCAGGGGAAGAGGCATGCTTGCTGCCTGCACATTGCCCTTCCATCTGATCTGGAGTCATGGAGTCAGCGCCCATCTGTGGGATGGAGTCTAAGAAATCAGACACCAAAAGCCCAAATGCTGGACCCCTGGCCCTTCTTCCTCCATATGACACACCTCTCTCTGCACAGTCAGTTTTTGGAAATCCAGACCATTTAGCCTGAGTAAAACCCAAAGGAAGAAAATGATGGGGAAGAAGTGAGCAGAGGAAAGACAATGCTCTCGCAGCTCTGCCAGTTACCCCAAGTGATGTTATTTCAGGACAGCCTGATCATCCTTCTTCCCAGGAGACTGTGCTCTGATTTATAAGGCCCAGTGGAGTCGGCACTCCTTGTTTGGTGCTCTGAGGGAGCAGGTGCAGCAACCTCAGGCCTCCGTTCTGCTCAGCAGTCATGGGAGGAAAAGGGGGGTGTACAGTTTTCATGGAGATGGGATTTTGATAGAGATACTTCCTCTGCTTACTTCCCGGGGCAACCGTAACTGACTGATGTTTGTTATTACCTATTTTGTTCTAGATGCTCCCGCCAGTGAGAATGCCAAGGCCCCAGAGATGAAATCCCGAAGAGCCAAGAGTTCTCTTCCCACTGTGCTCGGAACAGAGAGTAAGTTCTCCTTCCACCTTACCAGGCAAAGGCAGGAGTAGAGAACCCCATGACTGAGGGCTGGATCATAGGCCCCTGTTCTCTCCTTAGCTCCTCCAAGTCTGCTTCCTGCCCCACAGTGCCCATCGAGCGCCTGAACACCCTGCCCATTGCCTCTTCTCAACACCCTCATCTCCACCATCCTCTCTGCAGCCTGGGTGGGATGGTACATCTCTTCTCTGCCTCCTCCTGCTCCTGTCTCACCAGGACCCCTGTCTGAGCTTCTCTAATCTCTCCCCAGTTGAAAACATTGCTCAGGTGGTGTTGTCAGGTGCCTTTGAGCCAATTCCAACTCATAGCCACCCTTTGTGACAGAGGACAGTCGTTTTCGAGGCTGTAAACTTTACAGAAGCAGACTGCAGGGTCTTGCTCTCAAAGAGCCACTGTGTTCGAACCACCAACCTTTAAATCAAACAAATACCAAGCTTCTAAATACCCATACTGACAGACGATAGTCACTGAACCAGCTGTCTGATCTGAAGACAACTTGTCTTTTAACAAAAAGCCCTGGTGGCCCTATAGGACAAGCGCTGGACTGCTAACCACAAGATCAGCAGTTCAAACCCACTAGCTGCTCCTCTAAAGAAAGATGAGGCTTTCTGCTCCCGTAGATTTACAACCTCAGAAACACAGGGTCTCTGTGAGTTGGAATACACTCAGTGGCTGTGGGTTTCGTCTCTTTTATCATTCATTACAAGGCATTGTTTTCTACCTCTTGTTTGTTTGTTTTTTGTTTTTGTTTTTGTTTTCGTTTTCTTTTAAAGCAATGTATCTAACTTCCTAATGAAGAATTTGGGCTCTTTAAGCATATATGCAAGCCAGGCCATCAAGGGAATGCTCAGCTTTTAGAGTGTCCAGGAAGCCAAATGGGAGTCATAATTCCTCATAGATACTCAACCTAAGTGGAGAACTTCAGAGTCCAACAGTGGACATTTAATAAATATTTGGGTATGCATAAACAAGTCTAAAAATAAATGAAGTAAGAATGGACTAGTATTCTTGTTTTCTAAAACGATTACTTGGGTTCCAGCTACATTAGTTTTGGGGAATTCTGAGCAGAGGAGACATTGGTATCTTTAGACCCGCACCATGTGGTTGCGTGAATTTAGGATGTGACATGGTTGTTCATCTGTCCTGGGGCAGAAGCAAGAGTAGTTGGTGTCTGAGCTGGAAGGCTAGTAGTCTTCTGCCCTTGGCTCAGGCTCATCCATTCCAATAGGATCCTGGGAGAAGTGAGGTGGGGTCAGAGGAGGGCTGTGCGGGAGAAAAACAAGCTGGAGACAAGGAGCAGAGACAGGAGCTGGGCTCTTTGCCCTGGAGGAGAGAACACTGTGGAAAACCCCAATCAACTTGTCATCATTCACTTCTACAGGACTTGCTCTGGAGCCTGTCTGCATATTCGATTCACCTGGGCAGGGTTGAAAACACAGATGCCCAGGCTGCACCCCAGGCTAATTAAATCAGGATATCTAGGGATGGATCCAGGTTTCAGCTAGCTGTTAAGCTTCTCAGGGCATCCCAGCAGTCAGGGTGCAGACTAGCTATTCTAGAGGAAAGCCTCGTGCCACCTGCGCAAGTCTTGAGAAGCACCAGTGTGGAACTGCCCCAGGGCCCCTCTCATGCCAGGGTTCTCATAGTAGCTCAGTAACTCATTTCTGCTCTATAGGGAGGGAGCAAGGCTGGAAGGCATCATCTTCAAGGGGGAGCAGAGCCTGGGGCTCAGTCCTGGTTACTACTAAGTGGGAGGGGGAGGGCTAGCGGAAGGTGCTTCCTCTCCCTAGAAAACGCACTCAAAGAAATGCATGAGTTGTTTCACTTCCAGTAGGCACTGCTTGTATATTGAAAGGTTGGTGGCTCAAACCTACCCCAAGGCACCTTAGAAGAAAGGCCGGGCCATCTTCCAAAAGGTCACAACCTTGAACACCCTATGGAGCACAGCTCTGCTCTGCACACATGGGGTCTCCACAAGTAGGGATCAACAGGACAGCAACTGGTTTGGTTTGGTTATCTGTGTAAAGAGCTTCCTTATTTGAATTACAGTTGTCTTATTGTTATTAGGTGCCCTGGAGTCTGTTTTAACTCTTGGTGACCCATGTCATTATTTAGGCTGTAATCCTATAGGGTTTTCTGGCACTGTGGGTTAATGCGCTGGACTGCAAATTTGGTTTGAATCACAAAGTTGGTGGCTCAAGCTCACCAGCCACTCCTTGCAAACCCTATACAGGGTTACTATGGATCAGAACCAACTCGACAGCACTCCACACCAATAACAATCTCTATGGGAGCAAGTTGTCAGGTTTTACTCCTGCAGAGCAAGTGAATGGGTTCAGACTACCAGCCTTTTGGTTAGCAACCCTTTGGTTAGCAGCCAACCATTGCACCACAGTTGTCTAAAAAAAAATCCAAACTCATTTCAGGTGAGCAGATTTACAGCAATCCTATAAGAACAGTACAATTGTCCCATATGGTTTCCAAGGTGATAGAGCTTTACAGCAGCAGACTGCCTCATTTTTCTACCACAGAGCAGCTAGTGGGTTCAAACCACCAACGTTTCAGCTGACAGCTGACTGCTCTAATCACTGTGCCACCAGGGTTCCTTGCAGTCGTCTTTCTGTACCCCCTGCAATGGGAGTGTGTTCACTCCACTTAGAGTAATGTCCACCTTGTATCCATACACTAGCCCAGCTACCCAGCCCCCGCCCCTACCCCATGGCCTTCTAGGGCAGAGAGCGCAGGTACAATTGTCTGTCTTCCTGCTTATACCCAAGCGCTCCTGTTACTCAGAAACCCACTGAGGCTCCCACAAGAAGAAATGAATGAGGTGTCTTCTTAAGTCTGCACCCAAGTTGTTTTCTCACTTTCTAGAGTCCTGGTGTGGCACTGTAGGATGAGCACTCAACCACAAGGTCAGTTTGAGCCACAAGGTCTGTGGTTCAAACTCACCAGCTGCTCCTCGGACACTCTATACAGGGTCGTCATGGGTCGAAACTGACTTGATGGCACTTAACAACAACAACAGGGTCATTTTTATTATTTACAACTCATACAAGTTGTATGTGAATGCATCCTTGTTTAAACATTTTAAACAATAGAAATAGATCAAGTAGAAAATGAGATCTCTCTTTCATCAAGACCCAGTTTCACTCACCACCCCCAAAACCACTCACAATTCCTTTATTCTGTGCATTTGCATACACAGGCAATCCCAACTTACTATGGGCTTCCACTCCAAGACTCCTTCCTAGTCTATTCTGACATTGTTGAATACCTCATTTATTTTATTTTAGTTTTCATTTTTATTGCCTTTTATTATCAGTACCTTTATTTGTCTTTGAGGTTTAGAAACATTACATATAAACATGCAGACATATTTTGACACTGTGTGGAGCACATATTTCTAACCATAAGATTAACATTGAAAAAACAAACAGGTGGTTATCATAACTTGACCATATCATAAATTAGCGACTACTGTAGGATAAGCATTGAACTGGTAACTGCGAGGTTGGCAGTTCAAACCCACCAGTTGCTCTTGGAAACTCTATACATGATCACAATGAGTTAGACTCGACTGGAGGACACACAACAACATGTAAATACATGGGTTGGATTTTTTTCCACAGAAAAAGTCTATAGAACTCTGCAACCTGCCGTTTTCTCACAGCGCTGCCTGTCCTAGCTCCAATCATCTCTGATTCCATGAGAAATCCCAGAGATCTTGTCCCAGAGTGACCTGGCTGTGTATGTACACTAACTTTGGTCAAGAGCTGAGAAGTACCTAATTTAACCCGAAAATCCATCTTTCCTGGCCAAATGATTTACTTGTCAAACAGACCATGGCCAGGTCCCTCCTTTCCCCAGCTCGGGTGCTCCATCCTGTCAGAGAGCTGTCAAATGTGAGTGTGCACAGCTCTTCTGAAGCGAACACCCTTCTGGCCTCAGATCCCCTGTGAACACAGCCACTGCTGAGCGCTGAGGAGTTTGTCGGGGACCCTAGTCAATGTGCCCCGATGTCAGGTGCAGAATGAGAGAAAACTGACAGAAGTACAAGTTAACTTGCCAGAAACTAACTCACACTTGCTGGAAAGAAGTGTGGGTATTTAAAGGAAGATTTCAGAGTGAGGGAAACTCTGAACCAGGTTCAGTTGAAGGGCAAAAATTGGGGGATGGGAGGATAAGAGAGGAGAAACTGCCCGGATGCTTGAGTGAGTATTGTGGAGGCCCCTAATTCAGGGTTCATCACTGGTCACACATACAAAGGAGCTTCAAAAAGTTCATGGAAAAATGGAATTAAAAGATAATGTGGAATTGTACCACACACTTTGTGAAGCCCCCTCACACATGTTGTTGGATGCTGTTGAGTTGTTTTTGACTCATAGCAACCCCATGTGACAGAGTAAAACTGTCACTTAGGGTCTTCTTGGTTTTAATCTTTATGGAAGCAGATTGCCAGATTTTTCTCCCACCGAGATACTGGGTAGGCTCGAACCGCCAAGCTTTGGTTAGCAGTTAAGCAGTTAATCATTGTGCCACCAGGTCTCCTGATGCATATCAGATGTCAATCTATGTTACTTTAGAAAAGTCTTGTGCATCCTTGCTAAAAATAGTTGTTGTTCCCATTTTACAGATGATCAAACTTGAGACTTAGAGAATGAAATTGCCCTTCCCAGGGTTTCACAGCTAGTAAGGTGTGGAACTGTGGTTCTAACCTTGACTCACGATACCCTGCATTTTGCCATGATAACAAGGCCATACGCTGTGTGGTCCACACAGGCCTGGGTACCCATTGAGGTGGTAGGTAGCAGGAGGAGGAGAGTTGGCTGTCTTTAGAGCTAGGCGAAGCTGGCAGCTTCCCTGTATCTTGAGATCTGTCTGGGTATTTGCAGCATGCCTATTGATGGAACTTTTTGATTATGGATTTTTTGTTGTTGTTTATGATAGCTTTATTTTTATATAATTTC